GTGTGTGTGTGTGTGTGTGTGTGTGTGTGTGTGTGTGTGTGTGTGTGTGTGTGTGTGTGTGTGTGTGTGTGTGTGTGTGTGTACATGTGTGTGTACTTGTGTCTGCAAGGACAAGCTGCCAACCAAACACACACGCATACACACACTCACTCTTTTGGCGCTCACGCGCTGACTCATGTTGAATGACAACAACAGGTCACACGCGACGCAACTGCCCCAACAACTAAAGCGGGGAGTGGCTCCTTCGACACGACGGTTATATGTGTGTGTGTGTGTGTGTATGTGTGCGTGTGTGTGTGTGTCGCTTGTTTGGGAGCCTTGACGTTGGTGAAAACATAGCTAGCTTGCAGAGTACAGTTGATCTTATTGACGAAGTAACTGGCAGGCGTTCAAGCAAAGAAGACGACACACCCGCGCACACGAAACAGCACACGGCAAACACACATACACACACACACACGCACAAACTCGCACACACACACAAACTCGCACACACACAAACTCGCACACACACACACACACACAAACTCGCACACACACACACACACACACACACACACACACACACACACACACACACACACACACACACACACACACACACACACCATCAGCAACCGGGATCGACAATGAGGATGCGGTCTGTGCCATACGGGATGCCGTAGACGAGGCCGTTGCTTGCAAGCACGCCCGAGTGCCACTTCAAGCCCGTGCCAAAGCCGGAGACGGTGGTTGTGTCGGCCGTGTTTGTGCTTGGATCCACGATGAGCAAGGAAGACGCGCGCAGCGGAATGCCCACAAAGAGTCCGTTGTGCGTCAGCACGCCGTCCACCCACTTATCCTCCGTGCCCAGGCTACTGATGGTTGTTGTGTTGGCCGTCTTGTTGACGGGGTCGATGATGAGGACGGAGCTTGCCATGCGTGGCGTGGCATAGATGAGCCCATTTGGCATCAGCGCACCACCATTCCACAGCAGCGACCCCGTGCCCACGTCAGCGATGGTGGTGGTATCTGCCGTATTTGTGACTGGGTCGATGATAAGCACGGACGTGGTGCCACTCGGGATGCCAAAGATGAGCCCGTTGTCAGCCTTCACGCCGCCGCGCCACTTGCCAACACCTGGAGCAAACGGCCCGACTGTGGTTGTGTCCACCGTGTGTGTAGACGGATCGATGATCAGCGCGCCCGTGGCGACATAAGGGATGCCGTAGATGAGCCCGTTATCAGCCAACACCCCGCCTGCCCACTTGCTGCCCTCTGCCGAAAAGTTGTCCATCGTGGTGGTGTCAGTGGTGTTGTGCACGGGGTCGATGATGAGAACAGCAGTGGCGAGCGCAGGGATGCCATAGATGAGGCCGTTGCGGGCTTGCACGCCACCGTGCCACCCGCCCATCGTCAGGTTTCCCATGGTTGAAGTATCAACTGCGTTGGTGGCAGGGTCGAGGATGAGCACGGAGCGCGCAGAGGCGGGGATGGCGTAGATGAGCCCCGTGTTGCTGGCCTGCACGCCACCAATCCAAGACCCACTGCCGTCCGTGGCACCGGCGACACGGATGGTGTCTGCCACCGGCGCCCGGGTCTCATGGCACGAGCGGAACAGCGCCAACGCTGCAGAGCCCCGCAGCGAACGAATGAGGCCCTCCTGTCGCTCCAAGGCGCTCTGCTGTGCCTCAATCACCGCTTGCTGTGCCTGCACCAACTGCAACAGCTCACCCACGTTCAACCCGTTGACAAACACGGGCGGCAGCGCGTCATTGCTGCTGCTGCCGATGCTGCCGTTGCCACCTGCGGTTGACGTTGTGTTGATGTGTAGCGCCCCTGCTTCGTCCTCGTGAAGCACCGCTTCGCCAGCGCACACAGCAAAGCAAGGCGCAAGCACCACTAGCACCAACAGCAGCAGCGGAAGCGAGACATGCTGGCAGAGGTGCACCACCATCATGGTCGTGGGTGTCGCATTGGCTGGGTGCCTCTCCGCCGCTCGTTAATGTCACTCGACAATTTTCCGCAACCACAACTTGGAACTGCGAGTTTCAAGCAACGAGTGGACTGGGCGCAACAGGGCAACAGAACACTGCAACTACTCCTCCTCCACTCTTACACTCTTCTGCTCCTCCTGACCGAGCTCCTAACCCTTCGAACCAGCCAGCCTTGTGTCCTCAGCTGTTCCCTTTAGTATCGCTCTCACTCTTACGTTGCTTGTCCCTCAGCCCCCCCCCAGTGTCTTCGCCTTGCCCTGTGTCACTGATGGGTTCCTGAGAAGAGAAGAGTTCTAGAGTTCTTTCCCCTTGCTGCCTCTGCCTGCAAGCAAGCCTGCAAGCAATCGGCACCAACCACATGTCTCATCCTTCCCTCTATCTTCCCTCTCCTTCCCTCTCGTTCCCCCTCCTTCTAACTGACTAATTGAGTCCATTGGCTTGCACATGAACACAGGAACACAGAATGGCCGCCCATAGTGTTGTGTGTTGTACATCGCGTGTGTGCCGCTTCGCCCTTGTCGTCTTGCTGCTGCATTGTTGGTCAGCTGTGTTGTTGCGTGGCGCAGTGATTGAGGAGGATGGGTTTGGCAACTTGCACATCACCACCACCACCACGACAACCACAGCAACAGGCATCGCCGAGGAGGATCAGGAAGAGTGGTCACCCTCCTCTTCACATTCCCGGGTGCTTGTGAATGGGGTTGATGTGATGGCACAGCTGGTGGCGGCTCAGCGGCAATTGAGGAGCCGAGGGCGGTTTGTGAAGCAGCTGTGCCGCGACCACACTGTGGACGTGACCACCGTCACTGGGCTTGGCCAAGAAGGCCTGGGAAAGTGGCGGAACTCCGTGCTGGCGCCAAACGGCAAGGTGTATGCCATGCCCATCCGCTCGCCCCACGTGCTCATCGTTGACCCAGACACCAACGCCGTTGACACCACGACCATCACGGGGTTCAGCACGGGCCAGGCCAAGTGGACCGGTGCGGTGCTGGCGCCCAACAACAAGATCTACGCCGTTCCGGCAGACGCCACAAGTGTCTTGATCATCGACCCGGCGACCAACGCATACAATGCCAGCGCCATCACTGGGCTGCCACCCGGCGACAGCAAATGGGCGGACGCCGTGCTTGCAAGCAACGGCCTCATCTTTGGCATGCCGAACCAGGCGGCGTCGGTGCTCATCATTGATCCAGCCACCAACGCCTCGGACACCACGACCATCCCCGTTGCTGTGCTGGAAGGAGGCAACCAGTGGTATGGCGCCGTGCAGGCACCCAACAACGGCAAGATCTACGCTGCGCCGGGCATGCAGACCGCTGTTCTCATCATTGACCCCGCGACGAACACGACCGACAACACCACCATCGCTGGGTTCCCACTCTCTGCACGGGGGCACCTAAAATGGCGGGGTGCTGTGCTGGCGCCCAACGGCAAGATCTATTGTGTGCCACAGGACGCAACGTCTGTTCTCATCATTGACCCGTTTACCGATACGGCAGACACCACCACACTTGGAGGGCTCTTCCCCACAACCAGCAAATGGTACAGCGGTGTTCTCACGCCCGACGGTCGCATCCTTGGCATCCCCGACCACGCCAACGCTGTGCTCATCATCGACCCCATCGCCAACACGACTGATGTCACGTCACTGCGCGTTCCACCAAACCAGTTTGGGTGGGCGACTGGACTTGTTGCTGGACGCAACAGGGACAAAGTTGTTTGTGTCCCTTATGGCCACCAAGCTGTCCTCATCATCGACCTTGTCTGTCTCGAATACGCTGTGTAATTGAGAGTGATGTGGGGGGGGGGGCGGCAGGGGGAAGCTTGCATGTGGGGGGTGTGTGTGTGTGTGTGTGTGTGTGTGTGTGTGTGTGTGTGTGTGTGTGTGTGTGTGTGTGTGTGTGCAGCGTATATTTGTTTGGTGCATTTGTGCGGGTGTGACACGACACGTGCATGCATCGATAGCTACTGTCATCGTTTCCTGTCGCTGTGGTTGCGGTTGAGTTTCCATTTCCAACACTGTGTGTGGTTCGGGTTGTTTATGAACATCATAACAACGTGCGAAGCGCAAACGCAGGGCAGTGTGTCACGTGTGTACAAAAAGTCGCAACGCACCACCAAGGAAACACAGCCGCAGTCAGACGGAGAGAAGGGAGGAAGAACAAAGGAGGAGAAAAGGGATGATTGAAAGGGGGGGGGGGAAGGGAGAAAAAATAGGCCAAGACGAGGCAACGAGGAAAAGAGGTCGAGGGACCACAAGCAGACCAGGGTGCAACTCACGCCACAGCAAGGTCAAAACAAGGCGGTCAAACGAGCAGCCACGAGACAAACGAAAGACACGTGGACAGATAAACACGCTGACACACACACACATACACACACACAGATACACACGCACACATGCATACACAGAGACACAGATGCATATCCAAACACCGACACGCACACCAAACGCATCCAAGCACAGACACGCACACCAAACGCATCCAAATAACACGCAGCGACTTAGATATGTGAGTGCGACGACTGCGACGACTGCGAGAAGCGCTGTGTGCCCGTGAACCGGCGTGACATGAACAGCGACCGCTTGAACCGGCCCCGCTTCTGAATCACATCTGTCAGCTTGTTCACCCACATCATCTTCTTGTCCGGGGTCGGCGCCTGCATCACGAGCTCTCGCTTCTTCGCCACGAGCACAAACTGCTGCGGCTTGTCTGCGTCGCCGTCGCGCACCGCCTCCATGTCATCAATAGCAATGCGGCCCTTGACGCCGGGTGAGTCTGGCGTGGGCCTGTAGGTGAGCATGGTGTCATCGAGAACAAACCACCGCCGCTTCCAGTTCTTACGGCCAAGTACGCTCGACCCGCCCCCTTTTTTGTCCAGATATCCAACCATGGAGTGGCTTCCCCCAATGCCCTTCAGCACCTGCGTCGGTGTGCGTGTGTGCGTGTGTATGAGGAAAAAGTGCATTGTGGCAGATACTTGGAGTCGCCTCTACACGACAGCAGTCACACACACACACACACACACACACACACACACACACACATGTCTGCTCGTACAGCGCACCTGTGCCAAGGGCTTGTGTTCGGGCTGACAAATGTCCTGTACTTGCATGAATGTGACACCGAAGGAATCACACAGGTCTTGTGCTGACATGGTCGAATGCGTGTGTGACAAAAAGGCGGAGAGGGCCGGGGGGTTTTGAGATGTGTGCGGGTGAACAAGCAGATGTGAGATGAACGTCGATAAGGAGAGCAGTTACTGCAACAATGAAAACGACACTTATGCATGCACACACACTTGCACACACACACACACACACACACACACTCTCTCTCTCTCTCTCTCTCTCTCTCTCTCTCTCTCTCTCTTGCACACACACACTTGCACACACACACACACACACACACACACACACACACACACATCTCACCTTCTGCGGGGTCGACGACGGGTTTGCACTCCGGCGATGCGTTGAAGTCGTTTGCAATGACAACGCACGACCAGTCAATCTTGGACCGCCGCTGCATCAGCTCCGTCAGCACCCACTTGGTCATGGCGGAAGGCGGTGTGGTGTGATGTGGTGGCGGAAGGTGGTGTGGTGTGATGTGGTGGAAGGTGGTGTGTGATGTGGTGGTGGTGTGGTGTGGTGTGATGGAAGGTGTATGCAACTGCAATTGAGCAAAGAGGAAGGAACAGGTTTTCAAAGCAATGGCATCGCAGAGAGTCAGCCAGACACACACACACACACAGACACACACACACACACACACACACACACACACAAGCAGACAGATAGACACACACACACACACACACACACACACACACACACACACACACACAAGGAGGCTTACTTTGACGAGGTCGTATGTCTCCCTGCGCGTTGTGTCGTACATCAAGATGAAACCATTCGAGTTGTCGACTGCACACCGAAATCGACAGATCAGGAGATGAGCTGAGGTACATGCACAGCAAATGGGGGAACCTAGCAGGCAGGCAGATACACACACACACATGTACACAATACACGATTCAAGAACGCACTCTCGTGTTCGTAGTGTTCCACGCGCGTCTCCTCGGGAACTTGGTCGTGCCCAAGCTCAATCAGCGTGCAACCGGGAGTGGTCGTGGTCGGTGGCACCGAGATGACCTCTGCTCAACACACACACACACACACACACACACACACACACACACACACACACACACACACACACACACACACACACACACACACACACACACACACACACACATGACCATGAGATGGCGCTCTTGATATGGGAGGACGAAACAGGCAGTCGCAATCCAGCAGGGGCAACTGTTGGTAGACGCACCTCGGATGGTCTCTGATTCATCGTAGGGTCCCATGCGCTTGCCATACACCTCCCACGTCGCCAAGTGAGACTTTCCCACCCCAGCTGTTGTGAACGAGAAACGGTGGATGGGTTGTGACGGTGAGAACGTGAACGAGGATCGATGGAAAGACAGCAACGTAGGCGTACGAGCGCAGTCCCGCGCGTGCACGGGGAACTAAACAGTCTGACAGACAGACACAGACAGACAACGACGGACAGGAAGACACAGACAGACACCAACACTACACAGACACACATACACACAGACACACACATGTTCACACGCATCAGCCACCCCTCCCCTCCCCCACCCAAATACAGACACACACATACTTTGGCCGAGGATGCTGACGACACGTGCGGTTGGTTTGGACTCCTCGTCAACGTTGTCAAAGACAGAGTCGTTGCTGCTGGTGCTGGTGTCGCTGTTGTTGCTGCGGGTGCTGCCTGTGCTTGCCCGCCGCCTCGGTACCGGTGGGGGTGGGGGTGGGTTGGTGTCTTCCACGAGGTCATCGCCGAACCCAAACTGATCGTCGTCCATGATCGCCGTGCGGTGTTGTGTGTGTGTGTATGTGTGTGTGTATGTGTGTGTGTGTGTGTGTGTGTGTGTGTGTGTGTGTGTGTGTGTGTGTGTGTGTGTGTGTGTGTGTGTGTGTGTGTGTGTATGTGTGTGTGTGTGTGTGTGCTTTTTTTGTGTTTTTTGTGTTTTCTTTCTATATCCACCAAACAAGGGGTGACACCCCCTATGCGTCTCTTCATGGTGCCACACTGT